TAGGGTCGTCTTGACATCAGTCGACATTCAGTCGTCGTTCGGTACCATCGAGATAAAAGAGGAAACGAAATCACGTGACTTTGAGCGACACCGGGTACGCCATATTGATGACTGACTTCTGTCAAAGTTATGTCAAAGTGCGTTATGCGAGTTGTTTTGGACTTCATTGCAGTAAATTGTACTTATTTTTGAAATTCAGAGGCTTTTGTGATACTGTTTGCACAAATTGAAGAATATTATTATGGTGTCTTGTGCTCTACGGAGTTGTGCGAGTCGGACTGAAGTGGATAAAAAGAATGCAACAGGAAAAACTTTCCATAGGTTAGTATAAACATATTACAGAGATATGCCTAGGTATACAGGGTGTTTCAGTTTATTGTTGCATAACTTTAAGATTCAATATAACTTTTAAAATTAATGCATAAAGTCTATATAAACATGGGTCGTTTAAATCTACTTTTTAAAATAGTTTTTTTTAAATATTTCGAACAATATTTGATGTATAACAGTGAAAATTTGTATGCCAGGGTTTTTTGGTACGACAAAACGAACCATGGGCATAGTTCTACTGTAGCCGCTAGAGGTCGCTCGCTACCGTACCTGTAGTGTATTAAAAAATTTTTTCTTAGTGCAATTTTTTGCTTTTTGAATAAAAAAACTGGTTCTTCGCACTTTTATGCATAAAAAAGCTCTTCTGTGAGTTTTCGTTATAGTTAGCCGTTTTTGAGATATTTTAAGGTTCGATGCATTTTTAATTATTTATGGGAAAATAATATTTTTTTTACATTTTCGATTTGGGCATTACAAGTAATTAAGATGATCATTTAGATTGTGTTCTTAAATACAGCAATAATTCCTAACTCCAAATAAACACAAAAAAACAGAATATTAATTTGTTTAATTTTCCAATATTTTTAAAGAAACTCTACTAACACTTGTGGTCGGATCTCTATCAAACTCACGCAGAATCATACGGGCAAATCTGCGCTGACGAACATTTATGTTCTGATCCCTTTGGAGATTTCCAAAACCATTTTCAATTATTTGGCGATGCACTCTTACAAATCCTGAGCGAGTTGGATGTCGTCTGTTTGGAAATCTTCGTGCGTATTCACTGGCTGCTTCTGCTGCGTTTCCATTTACAAAGCCATACACAAAATGAATATCCGCTAACTGTTGATTGCAGCATAAAAATGGCATTTTTATAAAACTTACAAAAAAAAACAGGTAAAAGAAACTAAATTTCGTGCATTCACAATTGCAAAAGAACGTTTCAGATTTCAACAGACAACAAAGCTAACTGTCAACTACTTCACGTTTAACCTTATTATTTCAAAAATATTTGCAGGCACAGGCTACTTCTAAAAATTATCGAGATACTGACTTTTTAACGTTATTTTATCATAAATAATGAAAAATGCATCGAAACTTAAAAATCGAAATATCTCAAAAACGGCTAACTATAACGAAAATTCACAAGAGAGCTTTTTTATGTTGAAAGGTGCGAAGAATCAGTTTTTTTATTCAAAAAGCAAAAAATAGCACTGAGAATTTTTTTTTCGGTCATTTTAGTACACTGCAGGTACAGTAGAGAGCGCCCTCTAGCGGCTACAACAAAACTATGCCCAGGGTTCGTTTTGTCGTACCAAAAAACCCTCTTATACCAATTTTCACTGTTATACATCGAATATTGTTCGAAATATTCAAAAAAACTATTTTAGAAAGAAAATTTCAACACCCTGTATTTCGGAAGCCACCAATGTTCGACCCATGTTTATGTAGACTTTATGCATTAATTCTAAAAGTTCTATCGAATCTCAAAGTTATGCAACAATAAACTGAATATATATTTTATTTCGGCTTTATTGTTTATTATAGAAAATCGTGTTTGCCAATATTATTAGTCTTATTCTTAATACCTCTCAGTGAAGCTGACCTAACTAACCAAACTACCCGTAATATAACTAATTTATCGAAAAAATATAAATACTAATTTATCAATTAAATTTTGAACTGCAGGTCATGAGATTGTATTATTTTCATAAAATGCATGTCAAGGTGCTTGGTTTTCTTAAAGAAAACTTATATTCATGAGTTGAGCCATCTAATATTTTTATTTTGAGTATATTTATTAATTGTAGATTCCCTAAAATCGCTGACCGTTGCCAACTTTGGGAGAAATTTGTTAATAGCGGTGAATGGACCTAGTGTTATTTGCTCGAAACATTTTTCTGAGGAATCATTCGATAGAACATCAAAATGTTATATTAATCTCAAACCAAATGCTGTTCCGACAATACATTCAAACCAGGTAGGTATGTTAATAAGATCATGTTTGTTTCCTAAAATGTTCTGTATACTTAATTCAAAACAGTCATTATGTTTTTTGTCCTTTTTGTAGTTTTCCTTGATATAATGTCATCTTAAATGCATGTTTCAATGTAAATTCTAAGTTTCATAAATGTCTAGAAGTAATCAGCGTTAATGTTTTAGAAAGAATCACCACCTGCCGAGATACTAGTACTATCAAATAAGGTATTAAGACCTAACTTCGACTCATCCCTTCTACAGAAATAAGCAGTTAGTATAAGACATCATAGCAATAAGCTTGTATTATTTAGAGGGTAGTAATCAATTAATCTGTAATCTATCTATTTATGTAATAAAGGTTATTTCCAAACCAGATTTTTATTTATGTAGGCACGCAGAAACTAAATTACTTGAAAATATTTAGATAATAAACATGTATCTAATAGATTTTATTAGGCCTAATATTTTCAACAACAAAAAAATGTAATTTCGTCCCTGTCTACTGTATTCAATTTTCACGTCCCAAAAGTCGAGAAGTACGATTGGTGACATATAAATCCGAACACCCAGTTTAAATGGCTTTATTTTAATAAAAGTCGGTGAATGTATTTATCTTACTGTAAATGACAAGTGAAAAAATTTTCAGCCTTATCAGTTGGACATTCAGATTTTTATACTGCTTTTTTTCAATTCACTAACGCTCTAAAAATGAATATTTCAGCCGCAGTAGAGAATCAACGTTGGCGGATTTTGGTTCTTGACATCCTTTACGATCGGTTACGATGTCTAGAGTACGGAGACCTGTACGATTTCGTCAACTTAGTGAGTTTGACAGGGGCCGTATAGTGGGACTTCGGGAAGCTGGACTTTCTTTTCGGGCAATTGCAGTTAGAGTGCAAAGAAGTGTAGACACGGTGGTTAGGTGTTGTCAGGCAAGGCTTCGAGAAGGCCGTACGCAAAGAGCACTGGACGCCGCCGTAGAACAACAGACCGTGAAGATCGCCGCCTAAGATTATTGGCCTTAAGGGACCGTTTCTCCACTACCAGGTCCATTGCAAATGAATGGTTTGCAGAACACGGAAGACCTATTGGCATGCGAAATGTTTACCGACGAATGAGAAGTTTTGGCTTGTTTTCATACCGGCCACACTGGGTCCTCCCTTTAACTCGAGAACACCGACGTAATCGCCTTGAGTGGTGCAGACAACGGTCACTCTGGGATCAGGAATGGGACAGTATTGTCTTTAGTGACGAGTCTCGATTTTGTTTAGGCATGCACGATGGTCGTGCCAGGGTTAGAAGGCGACGTGGTGAAAGGAGGAATCCACAGTTTTTTGTTGAAAGACATGTTCATCACACTGTTGGAGTTATGGTTTGGGGTGCTATAGCTTATGGTTCCAGGTCACCTTTAATCTTCATCAGAGGTAACATGAACGCGCAGCGTTATATCCACGAAGTTCTAGAACCCCATCTTTTACCCTATCTTGACACCCTGGCAGATCCAACTTTCCAACAAGTTAATGCACGGCCACATGTTGCAAGAGTCACAACAGACTACTTCCAACATAATGATGGCCACCAAGATCTCCCGACTTATCCCCAATTGAGCACGTGTGGGATATGATGGGTAGGCGATTGCTCAATTTGCAACGTCCTCCTCAGACTCTAGAAGCACTTCGAGAGGAGTTGGTGGTTGCCTGGAATGAGATACCACAGGAGGACATTGACCACCTGATCAGAAGCATGCCTAGGCGCGTTGGAGAATGCGCAGCACATCAGGGTTCATCCACACATTATTAAAGGTCAAAGGGCTTTAAAGCAGTGCAATCATTTTGAAATTTTTATCATTTACTTATTATGCTTCATTGAGTACTTATGCAAAATTTTATTAAAATAAAACCATTTAAACTGGGTGTTCGGATTTATATGTCACTTAATATAGTTTCGTCTGTTTTACAGCACTTCGAAACAAGCCAGAATTTTTCGACGTGTACACTTGCTTAGTGCGTACCGAACGACGGCTGAACGTCGACTGATGTCAAGGCGACAATAGAGCAAGTATGTACCTGCCCTGTCCGGAATTTCATTCTAGGGCTATCCGTAAACAAGATACTATATTGACGAATATATGCAACTCAAAAATTTGATTTTTGGCCAGCTTTTTAGAATTCTGCCCCACTGTGCGTGGGTGCGTGCGTATTTCGTGTTGTGGCTTGTCGCAACTTGTATAAACTGCGATTGACGACGCCGTGTTTTGTAACAGCGGTTGACAGAATAAGTGTCATACTCACTATTTAATTTCTAATTTAATTCCTGTAAATTAAACATTACATTGCAATTATTCGTTAATGTTGTTTACTTTTTCTGTTTTTTTTTTTCTAAAATGCAAACGGTTTCCGAACCCCTTGACATCTCTCTATGTCCCTCTTTGGACGCGCGCTCCCTGGTTGGGAATTCCTTCTCTAACGGTTCTCAAAAGACTGGTCAAGATCCTCCTGAATACCGGAACTGGATATCTCCGTTCGTTCTGAAAGCATCGAGATTTGAATTTGGGTAAAATTTTCCATGTTGCAAAACAATGATAGTTTGCCAAAAAGTCTCACTTGTTGACTACGACTTTGAAGATATAAGTTTACCAGCACTGCTGACTCAGCATTTTTGATATCTCCATTAAAATTATGTGTGACAAGATGGCGTCTGGCATACAGGCGTGTGCTCGATGCTCAGATAATTTCATTGTGAACACCAAGAATATTTCTTGCGATTTTTGCAAAAAGTTGTTTCATCATCATTGTGCTGAGGTTGACGACAAATTAGCTAAAGTTAAGCGTGATTGTGCGGGAATCAAATGGTTCTGCAGCGGTTGTCTTCCAATGATAAATGGCAAGCTGAAAATGGCAGATTTTGGGGAAGCAGTATTTAATCGAATACCTGAAAAGTCTGAAGTTAAAATGGTATCTGGTTCACGGGCGTCAAGGAGCAGTGCTAGTGTGCCCGAAAGTGATTTAGCTGTATTGGAAAAAGAGATTGAGTGCCTGGTAAGAGAAAAAAATTTGATCGATAAAATCGCAAACGAGAGAGGTTATATTGTGGAAATTCAGAAAAAACTCATAAGTGACCTTGAAGATAAATTCCGAAGTCAGCCAGTGGGCAACAGCAGCAAAAACAAAGATTGTGTTTCGTACAGTGCTATCGTGAAAAAAATGGACCATTCATATTTGTTGATTAAGCCTGCAGATCGTTCTACTTCGTACAAAACTGTTGAAAATGATTTTAAATCTCGTTATTCGCCTGGTGCTCTTAATGTCAATATCAACAAGACTAAACTCACCAAAAATGGTCTGATGATCAGCTGTAATAGTAAAAAAGATGTGGAGACTCTAAAAAATTCTCTAAAATCTGATTTAGGAAATAAGTTCGATGTTTGTGAGCCTACCAAAATGTTTCCTAGAATGTTGATACAGGGTGTACCTAGCGACTGTTTCAAAAATCCTGGTGCAGATAAACTTGAATTTGTTGATAGTTTTGTTGACGATTTAATATTCAATAACAATTTAGGTGTTAATTCAGATGATATAAAAATAATTAGTTGCTATAAGGTTAAAAATACAAAAAATGTTGTTATCGAGGTGGTTCCTTCTGTGTTTAATTTACTTAGTAGCAAAGGGTTTGTTTTTATTGGCTGGGTGAGATGTACTGTCAGGGAAAATTTATACTTGCTACGTTGTTACAAATGTTGTAAATTTGGTCATGGTAAGAAAGATTGCCGAAGCAAGGATGTTGTCTGTTCTAAGTGCTCAGGTTTTCATGAATTTAGAGATTGTAAAGCTGATGATTCTTGTTGTCCTAACTGTAAGTTTCATAATGATAGATATAAAACTAACTGGTGTACAAAGCATGTTGCAAGTGATACCTCTTGCAGTTATTACAAAATGAAGATCGATCATTTGAAAATGCAGATTGCTTATGAATAATTGCACAAAAACTTATAAACATTTTGTTGTTGGACACCTGAATGTAAGATCTCTGTTTGCTGGCTTTGATTCCTTTGTAGATTTGTTGACTACTGATAACTATGATATTATGGGTATCTCCGAAACATGGATTAATAATGATTTTACAGCAAATATAGTAAATATTCCTGAGTACACTCTTTTCCATACTGATCGAGTAGGACGTGGAGGAGGAGTTGGTGTTTATTTAAGGGATTCACTGAGAGGTAAGCTGGTATTGCAAGATTTTTTATGTCCAGATGGTATGGAGCAGGTTTGTGCTGAAATAGTGTTGATAATCTAAAAATTTTGGTTTGTGTTATCTACAGAGCTCCTTCGAGCAGATTATCAAGTTTTATTGATCATATAGACAACTTTCTCTCATTTGTGTCTCCTCAGTATGATAATATATGCTTGCTGGGTGATATAAACGTTGATCAAATTACTGACCATTCTTTTCTAGATTGCATTGCGTGCTACGATATGGTATCTCACATCACCCAACCAACTAGGATAACTTTAACCACGGCAACCTCCATAGATGTCATTTGTACAACAAATAACTTAGCTGAATCATTAATTTCAACTAGCTCTGTACCTGTTCCGAATTTGTCAGATCATAATGTAGTCAGATGTGACTTTAACATCACACGGCCTAAGAATTTTCAAAAGACTGTCAAATATAGAGATTTTAAACACTGTTGTAAAGATCAGTTTTTGGTGGATTTGGATAAAATCCCATGGGACGATATATATTACATCACTAACTTAGAGGATAAAGCTACGTTTTTTTCTAATCATATTTTGGATTTGTTTGATGTCCATGCTCCTGTTATTTCATCACGTATTACTAAACCTTATGCTCCATGGCTCACAGGTGGCATAAAATTTTTGATCTCCGAGAGAAATAAAGCCTTTAGAAAATATCAGATTTTAAAAAGTCCAGCTAGTCTCGAATATTACCAGAAATTAAGAAATGATGTCATTTCCGCTATTAGGCGGGAGAAAGCAGCATATCTAAGCTTCAATGAACAACTAAATAGTAACAAGCATCTCTGGAAAGCTGTACATTCATTGAAACTCAAAACTAATGTAGATAGATCTTTACCTACACAGTTGAAGAATGCCGATGAAGTAAACAATTATTTTTCTTCCGTTTTCACGCCTTCGGGCAATTGCAAGGATCTAGTTGATAAATTTAATAGTACCAAAATTAATGAAAGTGCTAGATTTGAATTTAGTTTTGCTACCCCACAAAATGTGCTAGACATTATTCTGTCCCTAAAATCTAATGCAGCAGGTTCGGATGGTATAACAGTCTCAATGCTGAAGCTTTGCTTGCCTCGAGTATTACTACCCCTGACGCATTTATTGAACTGTTGCCTGGAGGCTGGGTATTTCCCTGATGCTTGGAAACTATCTCTTGTCAAACCCTTGCCTAAATGTAAAAATCCAAAATGTCTCTCAGACTTAAGACCTATAACTTTGATTCCTGTTATATCGAAGATATTGGAGAAATTGATTAAACATCAGGTTTATCATTATTTCTCTAATAATGATTTCTTTCCCAAGTGTCAATCTGGTTTCCGCAGTGGTTTTAGTACAACTTCAGCTTTAGCAAGGGTTTTAGATGACATCATTGCTTCGCTTGATAAGGGAGATGCTTCAGCACTTGTATCATTAGGTTATTCTAAGGCGTTCGATAAAATAGATCATGAGCTTTTATGTGCTAAATTGAAGTTTTTTGGTTTTTCAGACATACCTCTAATGTTTTTTATAACATATCTTTCAAATCGTAAACAAGTAGTAGAGATAGACAACACTATATCTAGTCCGATTGATATAACATCAGGTGTCCCTCAGGGTTCAGTTTTAGGGCCCTTGTTGTACTTAATTTATACTATAGACTTGGGTAGCTCTGTGAAAAACTCTTCTGTGATGTGATATGCCGATGATACACAGATATATAAAAGCTTTAATAGTAACACTTTGCATACTTCAATCAATGAGCTTAATGATGATTTGGAGGCAATAGTAGGATACTCAAATGGTAATAATCTTAAGCTCAATAAGGATAAGTGCTCAGTGATGCTTTTTTGTCCTGCTGTCAAACGTAACACTGTATTGAATTCTCTTGATGTAAAAATCGACAAGGAGCGTCTAGCTGTCGTAAATACTACAAAAAATTTAGGGTTGATTATTGATTATACTTTACGGTTTAAGGAGCATGTCTCGTCTATCTTGAAAAAATGTTATGCAACGTTGAAGTGTTTTTATGTCAATCGCTCTATTTTGAATTTTAAAGTTAGAAAAAAGTTATGTGAGGCTATTATATTTCCAAGCTTATTTTACTGTAGCACTGTGTTCTATCATTGTCTTGATTCTATCACAAAAGCAAGACTCCAAAAACTCCAAAATACTTGTTGTCGATTTGTATTTAATCTCAAGAAGTATGATCATGTTTCCTTAAAGAGATTTCAGCTTGGTTGGATGTGTATAGAAAATGCTTGCAAGTACCATCTAGCAGTGTTTACACATAAGATCATATCTTCTAGATCCCCCTTGTATCTTTATGAGAAATTTGTTTTCAGACGAAATAATTCAGACATTGATTTCAGACACAAAAAAAGACTAGAGATCCCTATGTATAAAACAACTTTATTTCGTAGTTCATACACTTACAATGCTATCCTGATTTATAACGAATTAGATGACAATATAAAGGATTGGCCAGTAAACAGATTTCGTAAGCATGTGAAACAGATTTATTTGTCATTATAGTAATTTTGGAAAAGTTAGTTTTTAATTCTTACATTTAATTTTAGTTTACGTAATATATGTGTGTATATATGTATGCTAGGAAGCTATCAAGCTCGTTGTTTTGAAGCGTCTTTTGCTTATCAAAGTTTCTTTTGATTGAGTGTTTCAATTGAGTATTTGGGTAGGTTAAGTAGAGTAGCCAAGAGCTAGACTTCGCCTACGTAGAGGTCACATTATGTGGTAGTGTATATAATGTGCCTAATAAAGACATTTTATTATTATTATTATTATTATATATTTCCGTATCTACTCCGTAAAAGCTTTTTCGGAAGCAAATCAGTAGAAACTAGTTTCGTGTAATACACGTACATAATAACGATTACTTGTTACTTTCGAATAAGTTAGTGAAAAGTTGTTCGGTTATCTTGACCAAGTTGCAGCATGAAGTTTAATAACTTCCAAAACTTCCGCAAGTCCGTATCATTCAGATTTATGTTCATGCTAGTAAAAATAAATTTTTAATATGGCGAAGTGGCGTTATCAATTTTAGGAAAGTTTTTAGTCGCCGGAATTGCTTCACAGACTGACAGTGGATACTTTAGGGATGATTTATGAGCTTCCGGTTGGGACGAGGGTCGCTGGAATAGTTTGGAATGTTTGAAGTGTTGGAATGGATATTTTGAAGTAAACGTTCTGTAAGCTATGCGTTTACTGCGATCCGGAAACGACAGACTCGACTAGGAAATAACATCGAAATAAATGTTTAAGGTGACCGAACTGTCATTAACAACAGCTTTTCAATATACAAGATGTTATTTGAGGACGTGGCCAAACTTCAGAAGATGATTCTTTGAGTAATTTAAAGATGAAAAGTCTATATAGGCATAGGTCCAGAAATGCTTCATTTTCACGATACAAGCTTTTTTTTAAAATCGTTTTTTCCTAAATACCTTGATAATAAGGGGCTGATTCATCCCCGATTAGATTGAAATTATTTAGTTCAATAATGTCCTGGAAAGCACCCTAAACAATGTCTTTGACAAAAAATTTGTGCGCCACAGACATTTTCAAATTTCTCGACAACTATAACTTTCTTGTCTCGTGAGATTCTTCTATATCTCGCTTCGTTTGAGAGAAAAAAGTAAAAAGCACTTTATTGAAAGTCTCTGGGACAATAACATAATAAAACATCCAGGGCTAATTTCACCAACATTAATGTTTGACGGTCAGTTGGACAATAGGAAAAGACGTTATCGAAATGTAATTTGACGGAAGCTGAATATCAGTGATTTCTATCTGAAATGTTGATTAAACTGGTGAAAAAATGGTTGCCTTATAAATAAGGGTACATTATAGATGTAATATTATGTCTTTGTGATTTAGAATTAGGATGACTTTCATAGAATTTCAAATTTTTATCATTTCAGAAAAAACGGTCAGTTATTTAAGTGGGATCAGTGAGAATGCGGCATATAATAGGTGGATTTTCTAGCTATTATATCTGGTAGGATGTTTTCACCATTTTTGACGACTTTTTATGCATCGCAATCTAGTTTTGTCTGTATATCACATACAGGGTGTTGTACATAATACGAACCTGTAGAAATGTACCGATTTTTGTTTTGCAAAAAAAAGAAAAATAAAGCGTATTCCAACTGGTTCATCATCTTTTGTTGCATCAAAAACAGTTTTTGCCAATTTATGATCTAGAAATCCACACCAAATGTCAACAAACAGCACATTCTGCATTTCTGGGTCCTAAAACATCGATCTAAATGTTGATTTTTTTGAAACAAAATAACATAATCTCTCCTTGTTTCAATTCAACTGGATTTGTCCAATTGGTT